GAGAGAGAGAGAGAGCGAGCGAGCGAGAGAGAGCGAGCGAGCGAGCAAGCCAGAGAGGAAAGAGAAATTCCCCTTAAAGGGAAGGACGTGTCGGTTTTCCAAAATCCTCTTTAGAACAGTGTAACTCAGTTCTGCATTTTGCCTTTGTAATGTAAATGGTTGCACTAGGAGATTTTTTAAGCCAGTTATTTTGCCAGAGTTCTCTCAGATACGTGCTTTCTCTCTCCACCTCTTGGAATTTTCTGGGGCCCAGACAGTCTCGGCTCCTCTGGGAAGGAGGCCTCCTGGGCCCCCAGGGCTGATCCAGGCTGAGCCCTGCATTTGCTCCTGCCCGTACAGCTCACACGTACAGCTTTGGGATGCCTCCCCATCCCGTCCTGTCACCTTTCCTGCCATATTCGCGTCTGCCCAGTAAGTGGCAAGCTTGGAGGGCGAGGCTCTCTTAGGACTTGGCCCTTGGCACGTGGGTGATGGGCTGGGAGTCGAACGCTTAGTCTGAGGCTACGAAGCCCTCAGAAGCGCCTCTTGTGTTTCTGAGGACACTGAGGTTCAGAGGCGTGAGTATTCATGGGGCCGGGGGCGAAGGGGTGGGAAGAAGGACCCTCGCCTCGCGGACAGAATTGAAGGAGTTGTGGGGAAACAGCCGTGAAGAACGCCCTAGTCCAGGGACAGCGGTGGTGGAACCGGGACTGACATCAGCCTTCGGGGGGGACAGCTTTTCTCTTATGCTGTTGGCCCAGAGTTGTAACTGCCTCCCAGACCCCCGAGTCTCTCTATGACATAGCAGTGATCTGCTGGGGGGTTCCTTGGGTTCTTGGTGGAGCAGATGGAGAGACGGGTGAACTCTGCTGAGGCTCCACCAGCACTCAGGGGACTGCGCACAGAAGTCAGTCTTTCTGCTTGCTCAGTCCCGTCCCCTCTGGACCTCCAGCGCCTGTCTGGAGACGTTCTGAGGTGTTCGAGGTTCACAGTGCGCTTAAAACTTCCTGGCGTCGCATTGCTGTCGGTGCAGGGCCTTGCGACCCTGGGCACAGCACTGATCCCATCTGAGGCGCTGGTGTGAACTCCTGGAGCAGAGCTTTGTGGAAAGGAGTCAGTGTCTCGTGTGAAATGCGCACGTCCCCGCACAGCACGTTTCCTCACAGCGCTGACAGCAAAACATCCTCCTCTTTTCACTCAGTGTGTGATTAAAAAAAAAAACGTTCCCCGAGCTCAGGCCCTCAGAATCTGGAGAAGGGGACGTTTATAGGATACATGGAAGGGTCATTTATAAATTGATGTCACTGTTGACCAAACAGTTTTGCTTGTCTTTTTAATGAAATGATAACATTCTTAAACCAAGACGCACCCCCACCCCCGCTCTGCCCCCAGCACACGCCCCCGGTGGAGCCCTGTTTTGCTGAGATGCAGGCTTTCAGTACCAAGGCAGGCTGGCTGCAGTCCTGGCCACAGGGGCTATTTGCCTGCTGGTGTTAATTAAACTGATGGGCCAATTCAGTTAAAACAACAGCAACAACAGTGTAATTATTTGGTGGAATTGAGCATTTTTCCAGCTGAATCTGTCCACCACCAGGACAGGTGGGGAAGGAAGCATCAGTTGTGGCAAGGAAGCATGGGCGGCAGACCCGCTCCATCCCATCCTAGCTGGCTGCCTGGCCTGGGGGCTGGCCTGAGCTTCAGGGAGCCTTGGCTTCCCCATACCCTCCTTCCAGAAGGTTCC